AAAAAAAGTTTAAAATAAAACTTTCAGCTATCAAACGCGTGGATATCACCTGTCAATATAAATGTGATTGTGACATTTTAGGGGGATACAAATATCAATTTTAAACAGTTTAGGTTGGGGGGGGGGAGGGGGTGATAGGACTCTTACAAAGAATAAGTGTGTAGTTAAAAATCGGTCATAGCTTAAGGGGGCATTTGATCATTTTATCATTAAATATTAATAAATATAACGAATAAAATGAATACCAAAATATGTGTTTAACGTAACTAATGTCATGTAAAAAATGCAATTTAACAAAAATAGTGATTTAATTTAAATGAAAAAATATTTGAACGTCTTCAACGGGCTGTAACAAAAATAATTTAAATAAAATTAACTAATAAATTTTTTTGAAATATTGACAAATAAGGATAAATATTGATAATCTTATTTACAATTATAAAAATGTACTTTAAACTATTAAACAAGTATAACTTAAAATATGAACTTTGAAAATCATTAAACAGTGCACAACCACAAGCATGGTGACAGATCGTGATCCTCCTCACAGCAGCCTGTGGACCCCCTTTGTGGTTTGCCCTTCTCTCTTGTTCAATCTTAGTTGTGATTTTTGAGGTGTTTCAGTTATTAGACAATTCAAAACTATGAGTTGTACAAAATCATGAGTTATCTAAAATTATTTGCTCAAAATCACGAGTCAATTAACATAAGTGTTTTAGTGTATTAATAGAAAATGCTAAAATAAGTTTATTTAATGGAATATAAAAATGCAATTTTAATATGATTAAATAAAAGAGAAAATTATATATAATAGCAAACTAATAACCTAAAATAAATGGAGTAGCTAGAGTTTGATTTAATTGTACTCCATAGCAAACGTTTGCAAAAAATTTCTAAGCGCCTCTCTCCAAAATATCTCGCTCGCCACTCTCCTCCAATCTTTCGCTCGCTTCCTCACTTTTTATACAAAACAAGTGTATAAAAATTGTTTCTAATTGTATAAATAAGAGAAAATTGTATAAATACATATATTTTTGTTCCCCTCTCTCCCCTCTTCCAAATCTCGCTCGCCACTCTCTCAAATCTCGCTCGCCACCCTCGCCTTTCTCAGTTATACAAACAGAAGCGAAATGTATAAATTGCGTTTCTGTTTGTATAAAACGTGAGAAAATTATATATACACATGCAAGTACATATATTTTCGTCCTATACACTTATAATTATACAATAAAAATACTCCTCTGCCCAATTTCTTTTGCCTTTCTCTCTTTCTCGTTTTATACAATTTTCAAATTGTATCTAATTTCTCTCTTTCTCGTTTTATACAATTCGATTCAATTGTATATTCATTGTCAAGTCTCTTTTGTCTTTCTCTCTTTCTTATTTTATACAAATTCAAATTGTATATAATCATTCTATACACTTATAATAATACAACTTGTTTTATACAATTTGCTTCAACTATATATGTATAGCGAATTATATACTTTCTATGTTTGCTATGTAGTGCAATTATGCAAACTTTGCTATAATATACAAATATGAATTTTTTATTTGGTATATGTGAAAATTGCCCTAAATAAAATTGAACTAATAATTTGTTTAATATTTATTTGACAAGTGGGAAAAACAAGTGATACCAATATTAAGTAAAATCTAAAATAAACTAATAAAAATTACAATATTTCTAAAAATCAAGAGAAGTTATCGGTACATTGAATTAAAATAGAAAAAAATAAAATCATTTTAAAACTATTTATTAAATAAATAAAAACTCAAAAGTATTTATTTAAACTATTATATCTTATATTTATATAATTCACGTCTCTTTTAATAATATTTAGGTATCCAAACTAATAATTTATTTTTAAAATAAAATAAAAACAAAAATTAGACATAAATCAAAATAAAAACTTGTTTTTCAATGATGCACTTGTTCTTCATTGATCCACGAGAGGAGTCCGATTTTAGTTGATATTTTTCAAACAAAACAAAGAAAAGTTATTAGTGGCATATTTACGTGTACAGAAAACTCGATTTTAAAGTCAACTACGTTTCAATTGTAACACTCCCTCGTTTCAATTGTAACACTCCCTACTCAATTTCAAATTTAATCCTTTTTGCTTCGAGGGTTTTACTTCTTCTCAAATTTCAGAAGAAAGAAAACATAACATTGAGATCATATATATGAGGCTTTATTTATCTATTTTTTTTTTATATAGATTATTCTCATAACTTCTAAAAATATAAATTATTTAATCATAATTTAACAATTAATGTTTTTAATTGACAATATAACATATCTTGTAATCTTTTATGAAAGGGATAATGCACAAGTACCCTCAACCTATGCCCAAAATCTCAGAGACACACTTATATTATATTAAGGTCTTATATATCTCGTGAACTTATTTTGTTAATAATTTTCTACCCCTTTTGGCCTATGTGACAATATCTTGTGGGCATAATGCTGATTGACTTTTTTTTAAGCTAGTGCCACGTAGGTTGAAAATGGGTTGAAAATTACTTATAAAATAAGTTCAAGGGTAATAGTACCTTAATATAGTATAAATGTGTCTTTGAAATTTTGAGATAGGTTGAAGGGGTACTTGTGCATTTTCTCTTTATGAAACAAACATACATATATATAAGAAAATATCTTTGTGATAACCTAATTAGTTTGATATTGAAATGTCTAAAAATACATCTCAAAAAGAATTGAAGACAATATTGGTTGAATCAAATTCAAGCGAATTAAATAAATTAAGAATTAGAAAGTAACAGGTACAAATTTGATGTTGTACGATAAATCAATATATATATACCACGTGTTTAAATTTCTAATTTATTTTACTTTATCAAATCACGTAATAATAAAAATTACATTAATTTAATATAAAAACCGTCCGGATAAGTTTTTTCCTATTAGTCGTGTCAATTTAGCAATGGTAACAACATGTGTGTTATTGTCAATACTTTAAAATTAAGGACATTTTTAACTTTTGACATTTAGACATTTGAAGCTAACATAATCCTACAATACTTACGTGTCGAGATTAATTAATTTCTTTCATTTTAAACTTACATGTCATTTACTCTTGCTGCCAACATATATTCTCTGTGTATAAAGTTCCTTCATCTTCCTTTTGTTTAATCAATTTAATGGCCAACATCAGTCCTTATTAACGCTTACGCTAGGGTTTCAACCTACTGTTTATTGTTCTGACTCGACTTAGTTTAAATATTGATATTTAAATTAATAATTTTCTCAATCAAAAAGTGAATATTGTGGTTCACATTGAAGTAAATGTTAATTGGTAAAGGTGTCATGATTAATTACTTAGATATTGAAATATTGTCTCAAATATATAATTGTATTTTATTGCTTATTTCTTGATGATAGTACTCTAATTTCTGTTGAAATGTGATTCAATTTTTTGAAGCCTAATCTGTTCTCTGAACTTGACAATGTTACTTTCTAGATCCACATCATTAGCAAGGTCAAAGTCAGCTTCTTCATCAAAAGTCATGTGAGAATTTGGTTAGCAGTCTCTGAGTTCCCTTTGGATTATGTCTGCTACTTGGCCTCCACAATGTCATGTGAGAAGTTGATTATAATGTAGGCAATATGTGTTATATGTACTAAGTATGAAAGTTAGAGCAACATAACAAGAGCATCTCAAATGATTAATCAACATAAGATATAAACATATGAGATAGTAACAAAGCCATAACATAATCATTATAGTCATTACATCTTCTCCAATATATCATCATATAAACCATCATATAAACATAAGTCTACGTAAGATATAATAATGAACATAGGAGATGAGGCACAATCATATAAGTTCAGTTAACTCTTGGTCATAAATATCATAATAGCACCATTCTCAAGTAACCTCATGAAAAACATACATGTGCAAAGCAAAAATAACATCTCATAATACTATTCAAGCCAATTATCCCTTTTTGTCATCCTAATCATGGTCTATAGATATAGTTAACTCTTAAATCTTTCTACCATAAGGCAACCATACTCCTAAGTAATCTTAAGACACACTTGTGTAATGCATAAATGATATCCCAGAATATCCTTCACATTAAGCATTACTTTGAAGTCACTCTAGTCATATTTACCCTCCTTTGGTATCACTTAATGACTTACTTCAAGTAGACAAAGGAATTATCACTTTTAGTCAATCATATCTTGGGAGGCATCTAGCAACTATTCATCAAGCATCACTCATATAAGACAATACTCATAAAGAAACTTTTAGTCATACTTGTGCAAGACATGAGTAGCATCTCATACTACTGCTCATACTAATTAATCCCTAAGGTCATCATACTCATGTTTCTTAATTAGAGACTAGCTCTTCTTTTCAAAGTATGGAAACTCTAGGATGACACTTTACTAGGTCCATCTTAGTTCCTTCTCGTAGTGAACTCTAAAGATACATTATACCATTTTCGACTTGCAGAAACACCACGTAAGTGTAGCCTAAACTAGCAAAAAGTGTGGCCTTTGATAAAAGGCTACACTTTTGGACATTCAGCAACACTTTTTAGGGGCTGCCCAAAAGAAGCGTAACCTTTGACATTAGGCAACATTTTTTAAATGTTGTCATCTTTGGCTACACTTATAAAGCGTAGCCAAATAGGTATAAGGGCACGCTTTGAAGACGTGCATTAGCAACACCTATTTTTTGTTAGACTACACTTAAAAGCGTTGCCTTTTCAGATTTATTGGTCACACTTAAAAAGTGTTGCCTTTTATTGGTCATCTATTGCAACATTTATAAAGTGTAACTTTATATCTCATCTATTGCAACACTTATAAGGTGTTACTTTATATGTCAGCTATAGCAACACTTATAAATTGTTACTTTATATCTCATGTAGAGCAACACTTATAAAGTGTAACTTCAACATTTATAAGCCTACATGTAGCACAAATATATATAATATATTTACATACATACAAGTGACCTAAAACACAAAATAAACAAATTAATCATTAAATTGAAGCTATATATTTCAAATAAACTTCGAGAAATATTTCATGTACAACCAAAACACAGAAAGTGATTGCTTAAAGATCTCTAATACCAACAAGTTCCAAAAACCCAAAAGTGTCATTCAAACGTATATGACAACAATACAAAAATTTCTTCATCTTTTGCCACAATAGATCGAGTTTACTTCTAGCCAAATTCAAATTCAATTACCTGCATTTTCCTGCACATTTAAAATAAAATTATAAGTTTGTGAATTAATTGATGGAAGTGCATAATCAGAGAGAATTCACTGTAAGAAAACCAATCCAAATCTAAATACAATTTCAATGTAAAAATTACACATTATAAGGACTACAACATTTGTGCAGTCTTCTGTTGTTGGCTCTCAATTTTAATGCAATACATAATTCAGAATATTATCTTGAGTAGTGATTCCTATTGTGTCTCCATGGAAAATTTCAAAACATCCCATGTCATGAAGTTTATTTGCAACATATGTCTCTTTTGAAGGTGAAATCAGTCCATCAACTGGGCACCCAATAGCACAGGATACATATCTGCCAAGAAATACTCTAAAGCTGATGCAAAGTAGATTACTAGAAGTACTAGAACACGGTGATTCAAAGTCACAGTGATAAAGAAAACAAAGAGCACACAAAATGCATGTCCAATGTGCAGAACCTTCTTCAGTATTGAAGGTAAAATCGAACTAACTTAGCCTTGTGCTCAAGTATCAGATAACTCATTACCCACAAATTCATATTGCTAGAGTTTGGAAGAAGATGGAATAGCTCGTTATCTCCTACACTTTCTGTATTAAGCAAAACATACTTCACATATGGAACAAAACAGAAACTAAAACCTGTAAACAAAAATAAAACACGGGAAGTTATTGATCATTTAGCTACTTATATTCAAAATCTATTACAGTGTAAAAGATCAAAAGAGGGTGTCTTTCCAAATCTTAGAAAAAAACATGTGACTTAGTGATGATAATACTTCTAGATATAGGTGGCAGATGATGTAAATCATGTCGAGTAAAAGGGGATGTCTCTAAGAGGATATTACCTAATTAGTGCATGCAACTACAAGGAAATAAAGTTATGTCTGCAGTAATTTGACAAAAGCTAACTTAGGGAAAGGACTACAATTTTGCCTTGGTATACCCTACACTGGATAACGTAGATGTCACAATTAAGCTTCATTTTGAGTTTTTGACTGAAAAACTGTCATCGAAAAAAAGTAACCAGCACAAGTCTCCCTTTAAGTGAATTGCACATTGTGCTAGCCAATTGTGCAGCCATTTCTCGATCCTCCTGAATCCACAATAATTATTCAATTAAGAAAATTCTATAAAGACGCATTTGACCCTTATATGCAAGGACATTCGTACCTCGATGCTATCCTCTCCAATCCACCAACATAAGTAATAATCTTCTTTTCGTTCGTGAGAATGGTATGTGTAGAGAACTATGTAGCAATCTCCACCGTAGAATTTACCAATGTCTTCTTTGGGTATCTGAGTCTTTGCACTGCCATCGATACGCCAAACCTGACAAATTTTACATTTTCAGTGAAGACTGAGCTGGCCAAATTATGACATGGAAAACATTCTGATGATCAGATACAGACCTCTATCTTTCCACCTTCTTCAAGCAAAGGCGGGACTTCTTCATCGACAGAAGTACTTTCGCTAGCAGCTTTGACAGCAGCACCTTGTTGCTTCACCAACGGTGAAAGGGCTCAACATGGACAAAGTTAAAACTAACTCAAACCAGAAACACACAAAATCTTCACTCTCTCATAATAACTCTACATGCTACTTTTCCTCGTCCATCCTCAGGGGCAGGTGTTGATCCTGATGGCCAAGAGTCAAAATTGGACTTAAATGAATGCGTCTCATAGCCTTGAATAATCCGGATAATACGTGTTGACTTGGGTCTATTTTGATTGGCAAGATATTCCTGAAAATTATTGAGTCATTCAGAAATGAGAAACTATACCACACAAGAACATGGAAGATCTACCTCTGCTGTTTGAATGGTACTTTTCCTCTCCTCGAGCTGAGTATGACGGCCTACCCAAGTGAAAACCTCGGAACCACAGTCCAAAATATAGCATTTATCATTTTCCAAGATGGATTTTGTAAGTTCACCATCCAACTTATTGACCTAACCATCAGTAATGCTGCAAAAGAGGACATAATTCACCTTTAGCACCCACCAACAACAACAAAAGGTTGATATACAAAATTTAGTTACAAGTAACAACCCCGAGGGCCATCTATTGAAAGACGTTATGTCCAGCAATACATGGTCTCTCAAGGATATCAAGAAAACTTTGATATAGAGTATCATAAACACGAGAAACTGCTTGACACTCGTGATTATAGGTAAACGATTCAACATTCCCTATAAAGTTGAGCAGTAGTTCTCTCAGGAACGATATCATCATCGGTAGCAACCTTTTTGCTAATTGGGGCAAAGCCACCAAACAGAACCCAAAATGATCCAGAACTTGACTCAGCTTGTAAATTTCCATCATCTGAGTTATGCAATAGGGAAAGAGTTATAAAATTCTAGAGGAAGAATTAATTCGATAAATATCGCATGTCTCATAGTAGTTACATAGCAATTCTGTTCAAAGCATTAGCAGTAATAATGCAACAACATCCATTATCCTAAACAGTCGTTGTGGAGGACTTATACGAGCAACAAATACTTGTAAGCAGTATGTAGTGATAGTACAAACCAAGACAGTGTAAAAACTAAAGAGGGGGAGCAGACCCTCTCGCGAACATCTCAGGTGTTCAATCACTTCTTCAATGGGGATTTTCTCCAGATCAAGAGTATCATTTTTATCTCTTTGAGGCTTATAGCTTTCACCATCTTCGTAAACCAACAGCAACAAGTCAAAAATTACGCAGAAAAAGGACTGATAATCAATTAACCAGACTACCACTATCTAAATAATTTTTATAAAATAATCATAGAATAAAACACATTAGCAAAGAAAGGTATGTTTAGAAGTTCTCTTCAATTCTCCCAAGGTTTAACCATGTTTACAATAATGTCTTTATTTACTTGTATCTCTAAAGAATTTTTTTTTGTTAAGCTCAATATTCCTAGGGCTAATTTTGACGTTCAAATTATTTTTAATTTCTTCCACTAGATTGAAATTTCAGCAATAACAATCCCAAACTAATAAATTACTTCTAAACACAAAATAAAAATTCAATTAATTGGCTATTTTTAGTACTACATGATTAGAAGAGAGTGAAAAGGAATTTTAGATGTATGAAATTGATACTTACGCTTGATGAAATTGGTTTTAAGCTTCAAATCTTCGATCTTCAGTTCCTCAATCGATCCCTAGTTCGTCAACATTAGCTCAACTCAACTCAGCTATTCCGATTTTGGAGAAGAGAATCAACTCATCTCTTTTGATTTTGAGCTCTTCTCTTCAGTCTTCAACTTCCTCTGTTCAATCTTCAGCTTCTACTTTTTGATTTGAAGTCTTAGAGAAGAGAAATTATGTGCTTTTTCGTATAGGAAAGAACCTGCGTTGGGTTCTACTCTTAAGCATTGTGTTCTAAGCCCCAATTTTTTTTCCAATTCCCAGATAAAAAAGTTTTTAATAATGTTTTATAATTTTTTTTGGCCAAAAATAATGGGAGGGGGGGGGGGGGTTGAAAATGTTGGAGGGAATCTAATATTTAGTGAAAAAGTTTAGGCCACACTTCTAAAGTGTTGTTTTTACAATTATAAAAATAGCTACCTTTAAAAGTGTGGCCATAAATATACATAATTGTTGCCATTTATTTCATACTATTACAACGCTTATAAAGTGTAGTCTATATCATTAAAGGGTACACTTTTTAAGCGTTGCCAATATTATCGTTGTGAAAAGTTAAAAAATTAGGCTACATTTAAAAAGTGTTCCCAAAAATATATTAGGCAACACTTTTCAAGCGTTGCTCATATTTAGTGTAGCCGTAGCCCTAAAATGGTGTAGTGATACTATCCAAAGTACGTCTTAGTTTATCATGTTTGAGCCTTTGGAGATTCTACTTAAAGCATGTCGCGCCTCATTTTTCATCAAAAATGGGTTTTTATCACAATCTAACAATTTTTTTGGGATTTTGGATTTTGAAGAGTCGTCACCTAACGAATTAAGACGCGTTAGGGAACCTATCTAACCTAACTAAGTCTAACTAAGGTTAATGACCCAGAGATCGGGTAAGGGTTTAAATTACCTAGAGGGGAAGGTGTTAGGCATCCCTCAAGGTCCACAATTATGGATTTAGACCGTATCTCATGCATTTTATGTGGGGGTCACAAGTATCAATTAAGGTCACTTCATTATCATTTATTTAGTTTTAACATGTCAGCTAGGTGATAACCTATAATAAACGATTAAGACTATTTTAATTAATTATTTAAGCATGCAAGACTACGTGATAAGAATATTGAACAATTAAATCTACTTTGTATTTTAAATAGCTAATCATATAAAGATATGTGATATAACAACAAGTTGAACAAGTAGATCATATTATTATTTTAATTAAATTTTAAGCATGCGAGTCTTGGTAAATAAAACATATATACTAAGCAATTAATAGATATAAGCGAGAGGATAGAGAAGAGACGAATAAATAAACAAACAATTTCATTATTTTATTTTAAGCTATCCCAAATGAATATAATTATTAAACAAGTAAAAGGATAAAAGGGAAGAAAGACTGAAAAGAAACTTTTGGATTAGCACTTGGCTTTTTTTTTGATAGGCTGCTGTGTAAGACAGACAAAACCAAGGTTTGTCGTTCAAGCTTGAGTCGATGTCATCATCTCCATAGGGCCAACTACCCTACCCAATCACCACATGCAATTCATACCTAAAAGGTGCCTAATCGTCCCAATTTTATTGTCCAACAGACATTGGACTCTTAAAGGGTGGGTTTGGACAAAATAAAATATAGGGCTCTCCTAGACACCAAGCCAAACAAACAAGACAAAGAAGATGGTCTTTTAGCACAATAGGTTTCAATTTGGCCTCTAAATTTTAATTAGACATGTTTTGCAAACAACATATAATTGTGAAAGGTCTTCATACTAAGTGTGTGAGCACACTGACAAGCAAACAACAACAAAGAATTAAGCAAGCAAAAATTATTGATAGACACTCCTAAAGTGAGAGGATGGTAATCTAATTAAATTTAGAGGTGATTGACAATTATTACAAAAATACAAATTTTAGAGTTGAATTGTCTTTAAAGTGAGCAACAATTACTGACATGATATATTTTATTTTATTTCCAAGTGTAGCAAGGAGTGATTCCACATGCATATATATTTTAAAACAATAAAAAATTTAATTATTAATGCAAAAAAATAACTTAAGACATCAAAATTTTATTTATTTTGGCAAAAAATTTATTTTAAGAACATCAATAGATTTATTATTAATGCAGAAAATTATTTTAAGTAAGTGACAAGTTTGTTTTTAATGCAGAAAGTTGTTTTTTAGACTATTGACAGATTTATAGATTGATTATTATCGCTAAAAATTATTTTTTAGACATAAAATAACAATGCGAAAATTAGAAAGTAATTATCCCTAAGACACATCTTATCTTTGATGAGGTCCTATTACCCCTTCCAACCTTTTTTTTAAGTAATTAATTACCACTTTCGTACCTACGTGACAATAATAATCAGAAAGGTTGATGTGTTTGTTCAACACGCGTCGGACCCCACTTTTGCTGCTTTCTAAAAAGTGACTATCAGCTACTATTACACTTCCCAAATTCAAAAAAACTAGCCATTTATGTTTTCAAAAATACTTTATCAAAAAGTAGATAAAGGAACAAGGAAAGTTTAATTGTTTTCTTCATTTTCATCCCTTTTATCTTCTTCTTGTCTTTCAATTCACCCATTTCTTTTACGTTGTCAACCTTCTCCTTTGAATTGATGTTTAGATTTTCATAATGATTTCGAAGACTTTCACCTTCATACAAAGGAATTTTAAATTTAACTTTACCTTTTCAAATCAAGGAGCTATTTAACTTGAATGATAATGGATTAAGATTCTTTAAAAATGAAGAACCATGAAAATGGTTTTGTTTTTCAAAGAGGAAGACAACTGCTTAGAGAGAAACATTAATATTTATTTTTGAATTTTTTTCAAATTACTTTTGACACGTCGCTAACTTTTATTGGTCATTGTTAGCCAAAATCTTCACTCACACGCCCTAAATGGGTGCATTCACGTATCTTGCCACATAGATACAAAAGTGGTAATTAATTACTTAAAAAAAAGTTGGAGGGGGTAATAGGAACTCATCAAAGATAAGGTGTGTCTCAGGGATTTTGGGTATAGGCTAGGGGGGTAATTGACTATTATTCCTTAAATATTTAATGAGACTGTCTTTTTTATTAGTTGTAGAAAATAATTAGTATCAACTTTAGATAAAAGGGTGGTTAATTGTGATGCAGAAATATTAGTTATTTTGCAAATTTTAGGATAAACACATGCAGAAAATAAAGGCAGAAATTTATTATTATTTATAGTGAGCAAAAAATATTTGTGAATATCTCATTTTAAACATGCAAAAATTATTAAAACGCGCCTAAGAGTAGGATTTCTGGGTGTTAAAAATATTTACATAGATATTATAGGCATAATATTTATTCAAATGAATAACTTTGTAAAAATATGCACGCAAATTATTTAACATTCTAGCAAATTAAGAAGAGATCTATAGTTATAAAAAAAATCATTAAAATACGAATTAGAATAAACTTTACTTAAGATCATTAGTTAGACAAGATTAACCAAGTAATTTAACAAAGACGATTTTTTTATTCTTTTTAATTAGATCTAAAGTCGTTTTATTAAAATCCTATAGGCATACTTTTTAACACAAATACGTTTGCAAATTAGCATATAATTCCCCCTCCCCTTAGGCGATCCCCAAATATATTTTATATATGAGAGTTCTTTAGAGTTATACAAATATTACAAAATTCAAATAAACAAACAAGGAATAGATAGATTCAAATACATGAATTAAACAATGTAATCTCTTTTCATAGCTAATCTTCAACTTGAACTTCAAATTTGAAACATGTCAAAGCAATCAAATAGCTACACAAGTAATCATATTTTATTTTAGACAAGGTGAGACACACATGTAATTACATAACAAAAAATTATACATATAGAAAATATTGGAACGATAAACTTACCCAAATGTATGAATCAAAAAATAATGTAAATGCTAATTAAAAATACTAACCGGTTAAGCAGAAAATAAATGGTAGCAATGAGAATAAGTTGATCCAACTTTTTAGTCGAACAAAAGCAAAGACCAAGAAAGCACTTGAAAGTTCACCGAAATCTTAATTTGTTTTAAGAGTAGCAATAATATGAGCAATGAGAGAATGCGAGAGTTAAGTATTCTAGCTCTTGTGGTAAGAAGTGAGTGAATGAGTTAGTGAGAGTGTGAGAGGAGAGAGTCCTTTTTATATAGCAGAGAAGGGGGAACAAATATGAAAAAAAATATTTAAAGGAATCAATTAATTATCACATTTTTCTTATTTTAACGGAGAGCCAAAATCAGAAAATATTAAAAATATTTCATTACAAAAAATAAACAAGTAAGAAAATAAAATAAGAAGAGTAATATATTTTTCTTAAATAAAGAAGAGCCAAAAAAATAGATTTTAAATTATATTTTGTTACCACATATCATATATTACTAAAAGTGGGAAGCTCCAAAGTGAAAAGTTGAATTACCATTTTACCCTACATTCAATCATAATACTATAAAATATTTAATTCATTAAATATAAAGTATTTAATGATATTATATTATACTAAATACTAAAAGTGAGAAGGTGTAATAATATAATTCATTCTTTTAAAAAACAATGCATCAATTTTCTCAGTTACTCTCAAAGGGTTTAGAATTTGAAAGGTCACTTTGTATGGTTCAATAATATGGACTAGATTCAAATGCAGACATATTGTATTCTTTCAAAATCTATGCATTGATTTCCTTAATTAATTTGAAAAAATGGATAAGTAATTTGAAAAATGACCTTTCATATATAATTATATGTCAGATTCATATGCTGCAGCATAAAATGAATTTGAACAGTCATTTCCTAAAGTTATTTAGAAGCTAACGTATAATGCAATGAAGTCATAGAGATTTGTAAAAGTTACGGGGAACAATCATTTTATGGGCTTCACAAAGATCCTAATCAGGAAATGAATTTATTCACTTGTATTTATTGTTATTACAAAGCACAATCTTATCGAAAATGATATGAGATGAAGTTTAAAGGATCATTCTTGACCCATTTGTTTTATCGGGGGAATCAGTTAAGGCCGAGAGTGTTCATTCAAACCCTATTCAACGGAAAATTACACTATTTATACTTATGGTTTAAATAGTTTTTTTTATGTAAATATAGTAGCTGTTGAACCTTTGTGTGTTTATTTCTTCATATTTTGAATCCCTTTTAGTGTAAATCTTAGTTCTGCCGCTGTTTTATTGAATATGTTTTTCTCACTGTTGATTCTATTATAAATGTCTTCAAATCATATTTTGTGTTTAATTTTGTACTAAATGACTCATAGTTCATGTTGACTATTTGTTACAATTTAGTGATTTTTTACACAGATTTGTGCTCAATATTGGAAGTGTTGGAAAACATAACAATGAATCAGCCCTTGCTTGGATACAAGTGCAACACACCCAGAGACTAGTAAACTAATAAGAACAAAAGAAAAACTTTCCTTAAATAAAGAAGAGCCAAAATATTATTTTACCATATACAAATCAGTTTAAATTCTTATTAACCAAGCAAATTAAATAAGGATATTCACTATATTAGTAATATATACAAATTGACAGAATTAAAGGAAAAGAATAATTAAGAAATCAATTAAATATTTTTTTTACCTCCAATTTGCCAAAATCAGATTTTTAAAATTACTATTATTATTCTACCAAATATAAGTCACCAAATAAGACAAGGAAGATAAATAAGGTTGCCATAGACAAACAAGTAGAATTGATCAAATAAAATATTAATGAAAACGAGGGATTAATTAATATTATTTTTCTAAATAAGAGAGCATGAAATCAGTGAACAACTATTTTGTTAAGTGAGTAAATTTTTTTTTCAAGAACAAACAAGTAAGAAATTTGCTAATTTTACGAAATGACCGAAAACATAACTTAAACATATTGTAACATTTATGAGAAGTCAATCAAGAAAATCGTAATAGAATAGCATACTTACAATTAGTAACATTCATGAAAATCAAATATATCCGAATAAACATTGATCCTTTAACGAATAATCTACACTATAATTAAGCAAGCTAGATTTACAAATTAACAATTAAGGGGGAAACAATTGCAAAGATTAAATTTAGATATTCATAGACAGATTTAAACCAACATAACAAAACGAAATCACACTATTATGAACAACAACATTCAGGCATACGAATTATGAACAAATACATATCATTCTAGCATTGTAAAATAATAGCAAAATATAATTGAGGTATCTGAAGCACTTGAAAAAATGAATAGATGAAGTAGGAGTCATTGTAGGAGTTTGCTGCTGGTACTTGCAGGGAGAAGCGCGAAAAGATAAAGAAGAATGGAAGGTAAAGAAAACATTACTGACGACTCTCCTCATTGAACGTTAGTCGCCTTCGCCGGTGTTGCTGCCTGTCTCTCATCGGAAAATGGAAACATTGCCTGGTGCCACTTCTCGCCGGCTACCACTGCTCAACGGTAGAGCTCTCCCTCGCCTGGGTCTCGCTGGTCGTCGTTTGGCTGTCCTCGTGAGAATCTAAAGAAAAAAGAAGAGGAAGGAGAGGAGGGAGGAATGATGGAGGAGAGGGAGAGGTGTCTCCGCTGGAAAGGGGAGAGAGAGAGAGGAGTGATGGGAGAGGGAGAAGGGGAGGCGGCTGTGGAGACAGAGGGGAGAAGAAGATGGGTTGCCAGAAAGAGTGGAGGGAGAGAGGGAGACGGCTGAGGAGAGAGAGGGGAGAAGAAGATGGGTCGCCGAAAATAGTGAAGGGAGAGAGGTGAGGCGGCTGTGGAGAGAGAGAGGGGAGATGAAGATGAGTTAAGCTTTTTAGGATTATGTCTTTTAGATGTAGAGATGGGGTTTATCCAGACCCTTGAATCGATTAAGATGTAGAACTAAGATTCGAACTTGGATTTAATGAATTAAATGGATGGATGAGATTAAAAGATCTTAAAATCAAATTGGATTAGATATGAATTGTCCAAAATTGCAATAAAATTGGCTAACACTGAAATGAAAGGGTGACTATAATTGAAATAAAGTTAAAATTGGATAGGCTAGAATTGAAAGAAATTAGAATCAAATGGGATACAATTTAAATGATTTTGAGGAGAATTTAGGAATTACTATTTAATTAAAATACTACATATATTAAAATATTTTTATATAATTGGAAATTACTGAATTTTAAAACATTCAAAATTTATTAATAATTTTAAAATATTTTAATAATATTTACAATAATTTTGTAAAGTAAACGTACTAAAATTTATAACTTTTAAGCAAAATTGACTAAAATTTTAAGCTTTAAATAAATTTTTAAAATACGTATTTAATTGAATAGTATTCCTAAAAATGGTTAAAAGATCGGTCAAAATTAGATGTCAACAAATATTATCTATGTTCATTATAGATTTGGACCCTATTAGATACTTCTTTTAGTATATCTAGGCTCATTATGGTTATGAATTCTAGCAGGCCCTACACAAGCATATCTTAGTCCATTTATACTCTTGAAACATTATAAGGTCCTTCACTAACTTTGTCTTAATTTCTCATTATTAGAATCCTAGGATATACTATACTAAGTACATCTTAGTTCATTAAGGTTGAACCTAGGATATACTACACTAGGTATACCTTGGTTCATTATACTTGAACTCTAGAAAGATACTCCTTAAAAGTGTACTCTTAGTTTATTTAGTTGGATTTCTACAAGATGCTCCTTCAAGCATAATCTTAGATCATTACTGACATTGGACTCTAAGAGATGCTACTTTATGCATAATCTTAGCCCATATAGTTTGAACTATAGGATATGCTACATTTAGCAAAATCTTAGTTCATTACTAATTTTGTTTAATTGGGGTATAGCCTTATCCGACATGAGAACATATGATCTCTCATGGTGTTACCCACACCATCAAGGGGTGGTTCACTTGCCAAGTGGAATTAATTTGTTAGCTTAGTCGGATTCACTAGCTAACTTCCAACGGTGGGCATATAGTTAAGGGATACAAAAATTGCTACCAGAAACCCAAACTCTACTAGGTGAGGCTTCCATCTCATAAGACACGGTTGGAAAACTCAATACTATTCTAGGTGAGAGATCCCTGTGGAAAGCCCAAACTAACTATGTGGGAACCTCTATGAAAGCCCAAACTCATCTAGGTGGGAACCTACATTCTCATTGCAATATCCTCTCCATGATAGACATAAATCCCACAAAATAATCATTCAGTCTCTACTTGGACTCAAGTAAATGGAAAGGTGTTATTGACTACCAACCCATGCTAATGCCTCTTTTACACCATGTGTGAGAAACTATAACCATTCATGACCTAGGCATAAATTCTCTCTTTAGCCTTAGGTTCAATCAGTTAGGAGAAGTCATTCAACCCTAGAACCATTAATATGTGAGTAGTATGATTCATAAGGTTATCTAGGTAGGTAAAGCTCTCTCCACACAATTCTATTCATTAGCCTTGGATTTATATGTATATTTTACTCTTAAAGCCTTTACATCATTAGTTAATCACATTAGCTTCACCCTAAGGCCCCTAGCCATCATGATCATAAATTCTGCTTTCAAGGTTTCTTTCTTAATATCTTTTTTACACCTATATTTCAAGGTAATTTGATCATATCTTTCATTACTAAGTGATTCTAGTCCTAATTGACCATAAAGTTTAAATTCTAACTTTACAAGTCAAGTTACTTCGTATTCAATCAAATATAATTCAAGTCATAATAAGATGATCCTAACTTTGATCAATTACAATACAAGACATTGAAATAGGTAGATCAATTTAGAACCTTCAACATTGCCTCTATTGGCATAATCCCACAATAAATCGCAGAAGAAAGTTACAATTTGTTTTGAATATTTAATAGATTGACGAGAAATAATGTGTGGGAAGGATTGATTCAATTCCTCTCCAATCCATAAAATAGCCATATATTTTCAGTACTTCTACTTCTTCTTTTGATTATCTATTACATAAGTAACAAAAATGTTTTAGAACAATATAACATGAGTGGTTTACCGTGTGGTTGGTAGCACCGCCAAGGAAAATCTGGGTTACGGTTTTGGGTCCGATGGGATAACAAGGGTGGGTTACAACCTCTTTTATTTTCTACTTAAAAATAAATACTTTTTAATTTAGTTTATATTATTTTTTTATAATCTTTTTGACCACCATTCTTTAATGACCACATGCTATCTTGATCAGAAGCTGAACATAAAAAGATGTGAGGAAGTCAGGCTGCTACATGCATTGAAGAAGCTGATTCTGGCTATCATAGGATTGATCATTCTAAAAATGAGTTGAAACTTTGTTCTTGAATTTCAATTCATGTTTCGCTTGAAAAAACCTGAAAATCATCACAAACAAAAGAAATAAATAAAAATTTTGCCCCAGTTTTCACGGGAAATTTTTTATAAGTTATTAGAAAATGTGAATTTAAAATAAATAACTAAATAAACTCAGACTAGGAAGTGTTTATCCTAGAAGAAAGTAACCAAATCTCATTGTGTAGGATGGTCCTACTAATCCCATTGTCCAGAAGGATCCTGCTAATATGAAACTCATTGTTTAAGAAGATCCTGCTATACTAATTCTCATCATTTAGGAGGGTCCTGCTACTCTCGTTCTCATTGTTTATGAGGTTACTACTACTCTAATTCCCATTGTTTAGAAGGATCCTGCTAATCTAATTCTTATTGTTTTGGAGGGTCCTGCTAATCTAATTCTCATTGGATAGGAGGGTCTTACTACTGTAATTCTCATTGGTTAGGAGGGTCATGCTAGTCTGATTCTTATTGTTTAGGAAGGTTCTTCTAGTTTAATTCCCATTAGTTAAGAGGGTCTGCCAATCTAATTCTCATTGTTTAGGAGGGTACTGCCACTATAATTCTCATTGTTTAGTACGGTAATGCTACTCTAATTTACATTGTTTAGGAGGGTCCTGCTACTCTAATTCTCATTGTTTATGAGGGTCTTGCTACTAAAATTCTCATTGTTTATGAGGGTCCTGCTACTCTATTTATCATTGTTTATGAGGGTCATGCTACTCTAATTCTCATTGTTTAGGAGGGTTCTGCTGCTCTATTTCTCATTGTTTAGAAGGTTTCTTCTATTCTTATTCTCATTCTCGTTGTTTAAGAAGGTTCTGCTACTCTAATTCTCTTTGTTTATGAGGGTCCTACTACACTAATTTCTATTATGATGAAGGTCCTGCGCTAATTCTCATTATTTAGGAGGTCCTGCTAAACTAAATCTCATTGTCTATGAGGGTCCTGCTAAAATAAATCTCATTGTCAATGAGGGTCCTGCTACACTAATCTCCTTGTCTAGAAGGGTCCTGCTAAACTAAATTTCATTGTCCAGGAGGGTCCTGTTAATCCCACTTTCCATGAGGGTCCTGCCAAAGTATATCTCATTGTCCGGGTGGATCCTGCTAAATAAATCACATTGTACAAGAGGGTTCTGCACTTCTGCTACACTAATTCTCATTATTCTGGAGGGTCCTGCTGGTCTTATTATCCATGAGGGTGATGCTAGTCTCATTATCCAGGAGAGTCTTGCTAATCCCATTATCACGGAGGATCCTGCGTCCCATTGTGAGGAGAGTCCTCATAATTTATTTATCCACGAAGGTTCTGCTAGTCCCATTGTGAGGAGGGTCCTAATAATCCCATTGTGAGGATAGTCCTGTTGAATTAAATCCATTATGAGGAGGGTACTACTAATTTCACTATGACTAGCCTCATTGTGAGGAGGGTCCTTCTAAACTAAATCTCATTACTCAAGAATATCTTACTAAACAAAATCATTTGAAATCACCATAACATTTTTAATTTTAGCCCAGTTCACACGAGAAAATATTTTTTATGGGTTATTAGCATGTATGACAGATTTCTATACCAAAAGAAAAATGCAAAACAAAATGCAATTAGGATGTCTTTTTCCTAGAAATGAATGAAGATAGAGTGTTTGTTTTCTAGAATCGGTAGTGATTTTTTAAAAAAAAAAAACTAATAAAAATCTGCCCCACTTTTTAAATTGAGAAAATTTGGAACTCTTTTTAATTTATTATTTTTTACATTTTTAAAAAAAAAAATCAATTTTGATCATTCAAGGATATAAGATTTTATATTGTGAGACCAACTTATTGTAGGATCGCCTATGTATCCTGTATTTAAAGAATCAAGTCAATCATAGTTCATAATAAATCAAAAAAATACTTTTATTTTTCTTGACATTTCCTACAAAAGACATCATTTGAGAAATAAATTTGTTCATAGTTGACAATATTTTTACTCTAGTGTGTACCAACAATTAGTATTATGCATATAAATCACCTTCAACTACTTTCTGACAAAGTTGAGGTCAACTTTGAGTAATCCCTATAATTTCAAGTGGTATTTCAAACATACTCAAGCATTTACAAGATGAGTTCATCTTGCCTGGGTTAAAGGATAAAGTTAATCATATCCTCATGTTTCAAGTGCCCTTACAACAAATGAAGTCCTATTTCACACTTAATAGTGCTATGATCTTAAGACATTTTCAAAGTCACTCATACTTGGAAAGATGTTCGATGCATGAGATTGAGATACCATATGTTTGACCCTCATGTAGATATCCACTAATGTTAGAACATTAAAAATGAGATCAAATAGAGTTTGTCATTGACTGTTGTTTTAGGGAATTGTATGATATTTATTTGAGATAAAATGACTTTTCATCCTTAAAATTTACACAATACTCTCAATATTTTTTCATTTTCACATTTGACCTTTGTTTTCTTGACTTCTCCTCATTTATCTTTCGTCTTGTTTTTCTTATTTTCTCTCCTCTTTGTTGGAGATTCTTTTTCATTTTTCATTCTATATTTTCTTTGTCGTCATTTTTTTGATTACATGACCAACGGATATTGAATTATGATTAATAATACAATAAAAAAACTACACTTCATACCAAATTAAAAGTATGTTTTATGGGAAAATTTTGTTATCACAACAACTCGAAACATTTATTTAGTGTATCACTTCTATATTATGTGCCTTATACATTAATGCCAACTATTTTATATATATATTTTTTACTAGTGATAGGAGAGACGAGGACATGAAAATCATGATAAGCGAAAGAACTCTTGTGAGCAAATCCAAAAACCGCATGTCTATACGTGAAATGTCTATCAGTTAATGTATGATGTGATGATATAAAGTCTATTCATTCTTAGCACGATCAATTAGTCAGGGTACAATTATATCTAAAAGACAATTTCTAACAACACATGAAGGATGGACATAAAAATTATTCTCTATTAGCTATGGTTTTAAAATCCTAAAACATAAGCGTACAATTTCTAACTACTAAAGCCATGAAGTATCATATTGAAGAAATGTGCATCTTAAATAGAACAAACTTTCTAGAGTAATGATCTCTAATCTATCAAATGAAAACTTAAGGTATTTTAGGCAGTAAATAGTATGAAGGTTCATTTATAAATTAAATAACAAAATAATTAATGATGATACACTCATGACTCCATACAATTTTGAAGATAGTGGACATTCAACATGATAATGTCAAATAATGAAAGTTAACAAATTTGGATCAGGAAATTTGAGATCAAAATCAAATACTCGGTGGGCTACCAAAACCTACTTAGAAGCTGCACTTGATAACATATTACGGTATAAGAAATTTCTCAACTTTATCCCAAAAAGGTGGGATGGCATATGATAAAGACTAAGAAAATAACTAAAATTGAGTTAATATATCAAAAAGTCACTCTACATTAAAAAGTTATCTATATAACAAAGTCATTGAACTTTGACTTGTATAAAGAAAAAGTCACTCAACTTATATTATTAAATTAATTAAATCACAACTAAATTTATTATTGGACTATTTACTGGCATTGGTGGCTGTTGTAGGAAAGGATAGTTCTGAAAATTTATAAATCTAAGAAAATATGTGAAATGAAAACAAAAGCAAAGAAGGGTGATTTCTTGAAAATTAGTGTTATCGTTGGTAGAAGCAAAATATTTGTTGCTATGGTCACAAGAACTCATACAACACTTGAAGGACCATGTTTTTCATAGTTTGTGTCATCTGATTGAGATTTGCTAGCTTATTTTGTATTGACATGTAGATGCATCGGTCAATAGATGAAAAAGTCTGGTAAGTGAAGGTTAACAGAGGAGGACCTTTAGTTACATGTAAAAAGTTATCCTGTAAGATCCACAATCTTGGTATCAATGCAGATGAAAGAAAAATATATGGTGATATCTATAAGGTGAGGATAGATTTAACTTAATTTTCACGTTTATTTTCTTTATTATGATAACTAATGAATTGAAAAGGAATACCTGACGATTCATTTAGCCAATCCCAACTTATTTGTATTAGAGGTGTAATTGTGGTTGTATGTTATTCTGTTGTTTTTAAAGGTAAAATCATTACTTGTATAGTTGCATTTCAGCAAGAGTTAATACAAAATATTCATGGCCAGTTTGTACGTTCTTTCCTTACAGTAGTTGTGTGCAAATGTCTTTTTAATGGTAAATTTAGTTGAGTGATTTCATTGATACAATAACCTAAGTTGAGCAATCTCATTAATACAAAACAAAGTTTAATGACTTCGTTAGATAAATTTTCTAATGTGAATGACCTTTTAAGATGTATTATCCTAAAAGCTCCAGTAATGTAAAAGAAAAAAAACTAGCAACCAACACCACGTAATTGAGAAGCACAACTATATCACTTCTTAGACTCAAACTATAAATTAACCGATAATTTTCATTTCAAGATTAAAAAAAAATATAAAATAGTATGCAAACTACAACAAGTCCATAACATATATAAGGATCTAAAAATATAGAATATCATAAATCACCAATAATAAAAAAGTATAGCCATTTATACTTTGATTTCTAGAGGCAACAGCAAATGAAGTGCCCCCAATTTAAATATAATGAAGGATAAAACTAAAAATCTATACTCCAAATTATGAAATATGCAACTAAATTACCTTTGACACTTACACCTACCTATCCATTGTAACATGGTGGAAGAAATCTTCCTTTAAACTTTAACTAAATGGGAAATATATAATTATACAAGGACAAGAGAAAAACAAAAAGAACAAAAAGAAGTGAAATACAAGTATCACTTACCTAAGTAAAAAATTCTCAGGTACAGAATTATACTATGCGAGCTTAACAGGCTAGTTGATAACAAATTAAAATATGGAATGGCTAATCTCTGCCTCCAAAATTAAACATGTTAGATCCTAGATGATTTAAATAGCAAAGATATCATAAATCTTCTACTACTATTTCTACTTTTTTTTTAATATGTTTCACTACATGATACAATCAGAAACTAAAAAAAAGGTATACGCATGCATAAATGGACTTATCAAATAGCTAATGAAAAAAAAATTTTAAGGTACTCCTATAGAAAAAAGATGATTCAGAAACTTAGCCAATGATACATGTAAACTCAATTGCCTCCTGCAACAACATCGATCCAATCACAACGTACTCCAATTCTAACCTTCTAATTATTACATAAAAATATATATAGTATAGGTAATTCCAAGTAAAAAAAATGAAAACAAAATATGAACTTTTGAAACTTTTGGCAACAATTTAACGTTCAAAGGAGAGGTAATGGTTACTCGTCTTATAAATTGGCTAGACATCCGACTTGAAATTCTTACAAGATAAGGCAATATTTTTTATTAAATGCTTTGGTAATTGAAAAACAAAGGAGAAGTGCGTGGATATTACCTCTTTTGTTTTTAATTTTTCACTCAACAACGATTACAGAAATTTGTTGTCACAGGGGCGCTGCTTAGCAATTCGACCTTCCAAACTCAAGCCTGTAAATTTTCAAAAAATCAATCTTTTTTTTTATGTAAACTGACTGTTGATACAATTTCACATATAAAATAGCGATACCCAAATATGTTAAAATATGTGAATTAGGTCTAGAGAGAAACCTGAAAATGTCGGTCACCCAATTTACATGAGCAAGATGCAGATGTATTGAAGATTAGGGCTGAAAAGAAAAATTCTTCTTTGAAGGAGAAGGGATAGGGTTTCCACGAGTAGGAGATAAAAAATAAAGTCTAACCTGTAAATTATAGCAAAATAATAGATCTGACCCTCTTTTAAAAAATATCAATCTAATTTTAACCACCGCTATCACTATTTTTAGCAACCAGAATGTATTCTTCAATTTTTTTAATTAATAAATTACTTTTAACGTCCAGAAAAAAAATGTTGTCGTTATAAATACACTTCTAGAGACGGATTTTTGACCCTTCGTTATGAAGTGGTCGTTAAAAGTGAGATTTCTTGTAGTTATTTCGACTATAAAGGGTTGTGTCCCCATGAAGTTGATAGGGTGTCTAAGATAGCTATTTTGATACTTAGTATTCCTTCATTTCATAAAAGAGTTTTCTATTGATGACTTTACTTTACTGTGAAAATTTTTAATTCCATACTATTTTTATTGCCTATATGATGAATGAATGCTAAAAGACTTGTAGAAGACCCCTTCCAGGTCAAGTCTGCATTGTTATGACTCGGGAGGGGGGGTATTCTCGGGTTGTGAAAAGGTGAGGTAGTATGCTCTTGGCTAGGGGCAGCCTTGGTCTTTGGCCTTGGCTTGGCCCCTTCGCCTTGAAACTTGCCTCTTGGCTTGGCTTCACTTTTACTCCATATAAACCCTAAATTACTTATTAACATTCGGGGAGTCAATTGTTACAAATTTTCTTTCATTAGGCTCTAGTTCAACCTATCATTTTCCGGGGTGTTATAGATACTTGGCCATCATTGCTACTTCTGCTTCCAAGTAGCTCTCTCTATGGAATGACTCCTCCACAAAACCTTTACAGAAGCGACTTTTTTATATCTGAGCCTACGGATGAGATTTATTATAATTTCAACTGGAAAATCTTCATATGTGAAGCTATCTTTCACAACAACACTCGCTAAAGGTACTATTGAACACGGATCACCCACACACTTCTTCAACAAGAAAATGTGAAAAAATGGGTGAACTGCTAATTTTGTTGGTAACTCGTTTTCATGATTCCATAAGGACCTACATACTTTGAAATGGTCTTCGATTTATCAAAAAATATCATCACCCCTCTTCATCGGTGACACTTTCAGGAAAACCAATCATCGATTTCATACTTTAATTCCCTTCTCCTTATATGTGCATAACACTTCAGAAGACTTAGAGTTGTCTTTTGTCTATCTTTGATACGATGAACTTTCTCCATAGCCTCATGATCTGAATCTTGTCTTGTCGAGGCTGCTTCTCATACTTTAAATGAATAAACAGAGGACTTGCATCTGCACCCATACAATGCCTCATAATTGCCCATCTGATACTGGAATGAATGCTATTTTTAAAAGATGAATTCTATAAGAGGTAGGTAATCATCCCAACTACTTGAAATATATAACAAAAACTCTCGACATGTCCTCCAAGGTCTGAATTGTACATTTTTCCTGACCATCCATCTGCAGATGAAATGTTTTACTAAGATTTTTTTGATTACCAAGATCTTTTTGAAGCAATTTCCAGAAATTAGAGGTAAACGGAGGACCCCCTATATGACATGATATGATAGAAAAGGGAACCCTATGCAACATTAGTATCTCACTGGTTTAGAGTCTAGTAAAAATCCTGAGCTGAATCTATAATCTTGACAACCAAGAAGTGAACTAACTTAATGACTTTGTCCATTATTACACAAATAGAGTCATATTTCTATGAGTACGAGGTGACACCATGACAAAATCCATGTTTATCACTTCCCACTTTGATGTAGGAATGTTAACATATTTAGTCACATCTCATCTTCTTTTGATCTTTTTTTGATGTTCTTCTTTAGCTTGACATTTAGGACACTTAGCCACAAAATCTATGATGTTTCTCTTGATGTTGTTGCATCGAAAGACTTCTCATTGATTATGATACATCTTTGTGGAAATTGAATAAATAGAATACCCTGAAGTATGTGCTTTTATAAGGATTCGCTTCCTCGAATCACACTATTAGGAACATATAAGTGACCCTAGTAACAAAGCACATCATCTACCCTTTCGGAGAAAACCTCAACTCTTTGTTGATGAACTACACCTTTCAGCTAAAGTAATATAAGATCAATATCAAATTTTCCTTAACCTCAGCTACCAGTGATGATTCTGACACAGTATGAACTATCACACCACCATCTTACGTATCCACAAGTAAAACTTCTAAATGAGCAAGCCAGTGAACATCTTTGGCTAGTTCTTTCTTCTCTTCATCATTATGTCCTAAACTACACATTGATAGTATGTTGAGGGTGTTAACCACTATATTGGACTTACCTGGATGATAGCGCATATTCATGTCATATTCTTTAAGGAATTCAATCCATCTCTTCTGACGAAGATATAATGTTTATGGGTGAACACATACTTGAGGTTTTTATGATCTATGAACACATCATGATTAACATTATAAAAGTAGTGTCTCCAAATCATTAGGGAAAACACTATGGCTCAAGGTCATGAGTCGGGTAGTTCTTTTCGTAGACCTTAAGTTGTCAAGCATAAACTATGCACCTTACTACATCAATACATAACCTAGGCCAACCCCATATGTATCACAAATAAACCACAATATCGTTTAACCTATTTGGTAGAGACAAGACAAGAGTTTTAGTCAATAAGGTCTTCGGTTAAAAGAATTTGTTCTCATTTTTATCTGATCTTTAAAACATGGCCTTTTTCTAAGTAAACTTGATTAATGGGGAAGATATGGAAGAAAATCCTTCAACAATACTTTGGTATTAATAGGAAAAAACCAAGAAATTTCTAATATTAGTCGGAGAGGTGGGTCTAGTACAATGTTGTACTGCCTCATTTTTTTAGAATCCACTCAGATCACTTCACAAGATACGACATGACAAAGGAAATCTACAAACTGTAATAAAAATTCACATTTGTTTAACTTAATGAATAGTTGGCTATCTTTGAAGACTTATAGAACAACTCTCAAATGAGTCACATTCTCTTCCTCACTCCAAGATTAAATGAAAAGTCGATGAAAAAGTAAAAATACTGTTTGAACACATTGTTCATTAAGTCCATGAAAGTTGAAGAAGCATTTATTATTTCTAAAGACAAATATAAATTTATAGTGACCATATCGAAACCTAAAGGTTGTCTTTGGGATTTTACTATCTCTGAATCTATGATGATAGCCGAATCTAAGGTCTATCTTAGAAAATAAACTACCACCTAAAAGTTAGTCGAACTAGTCATACATTCTAGGGGTGAGATAGAGATACTTATTCTTGATTTTTACTTTGTTCAAATGAAAATAATCAATGCACATTCTAAGAGAATCGTCTTTCCTTTTCACGAATACTACTAGACGCCACATGGACGGAAAAATAGGTCTAATGAATACCTTATATAAAATGTCTTTAAATTATTCTTTCAATTTCTTTAGCTTAGTTGGAGCCATTATGTAAGAAGGAATCAAAATACGCTGGGTATATTGAAGGATATCTATTTTGAAGTTGATTACCCTTTTGAGAGGGGCTCCGGGAAGATAATATGAAAAATATTTGGCTACACTTCTGAAAACTCATTTACCTCTACGATTGAGTCAAGAGTTAGGGTTTCAGAGTATTAATCCTTAACCCCGAATAAGATTATAAATATACCCATTATAAATCATTTTCTTAACATTAAGGTAATAGATAAACTGACCAAAAGGGAATTATTTACTATCCTTCCACTCTAAGTTTTCTCATTCAAAAACTAAAATTTAACGATCCTAGTTCTACAATCGACTGAGGCATAACTGTAATGTAACCAATCCATGTCTAGAATAATATTGAAATCTACCATTTCTTACTCTACAAGGCTTACTGAGGTGAATTTCTTAGTAACTTGGACAGTGAATTTTTTTTATAATCGTCTAGGTATAATTGGGTCACTAACTAGAGTAGAGTGAGAAGGATTTTTAGAGAGTTTCTGGAATAACAGAAAATCTTACATCTATATAAGGAGTTACAAAGGAAAGTGTAGACCGTGGATCTAATAGCGTATAAAAGTTCAAAATGGATTATTTGTAACAAATTAGTGACAACATTATGAGAATCTTCTTGTCTTCGCGAGCTTAAAGAGAATACAAAATTTTATGGCACCAACCACCATCTGTAAAAGATGAAGCACCTTACTGACTGGGGCGACCCGCTTGAGCTGCTGAAGTTATAGACAGATCCATGTTACCTCATTGTCCTTGACTTGAAGAAGGGGTATCCTTCAATCTACGAACAGACTAACCACACCCAAAGCACCCCTCTATACCTGTGTGGCACTCTCTTGGATGATTCTTACAACACTTTGGACAAGTTAGGATAGTTTAATTACGTGAAGCAATCCCTTGTGACTTATAATGTAATTCTATCCCTTTCTCCCTTTCTAATCATGTTGAAACATAAGGGAAGGAGCTCTATCTTATAAAGCTGTTGGGGTTGTAGACCTATACTAAAACTTTGCGCGGTTTCCACTGCCCAACCTCTTTTGAGAGTATTCACAGTTTCATGTCCTAGCCTTTTTGGTATCCTTGGCCATTTGCCTAAGCTTATCTCATTCAACCTCCTAAGAGTGAATCATTAGTTTGGAGATACTCATATCTCAAAATAATATGTCATTCGTGCTCTAAATCTTCACTCGATTGGATACTTCAAACAAGAACTTTCTCATTTGTGCTCTTAAATTGGCAATCATATGTGGAGCATACCTGGAGAGCTGGGTGATATACCGTGGTTTCACAGTATTTCTAATGTTTTTTCCTTAAATTTAGTGTGTGTCCAAAAGCCTTTTTGTATTGATTTTTATGTAAGTTTCTCTTTCTTTGCATGAAATCTTTCTAAAGATGAACGCGGATGTTTTTGAGCAAGAAATGCAGAAAAGTTACCACCTACGGGGCCTGTGACGGTCCGTAGGTGGCATCATAGTGAAGCTACTAAAGGAAGATGGGGAAGTCTGACCTAAGTGTGGGATTATGAAGTTCATTATGGTCCGTCCTGCTGGTTCGTCGTGATGATCAGAGAGTAGTCCCAGTACCCA